ATGTACACATATACATACATTCATATATATATATATATATGTATGTGTGTGTGTGTATATATATATATGATTATATAGTGTATATTATATATATATTCATTTATTTTGTTTTTGGTTTGGAGTGAAATATGAGCTGAATATGCTTTTGTGAGATCCACACTTTATTTACAATGTTTTCTGTATGATTTAGTTTAAAGGAACGTCCTAAAGACACGCTAGTCATAAGCTAATGGTGATCAGATGCTGAGGCGAGTGCTGGTTTAGACGTTCAGATCAGGACGAGCTTCAGTCAGGTCTGTTCAGGAAGTGTTTCCACAACAGTTTTATCTGCTGTGTGTTTGTTGTGTAAAGCAGACACACAATACCTGACTCACACACATCCAGTTGAGTGAAGACAGTGGGCGGGAAATTCATTATGCATTCAGTGAAGATCATATTGTTGTCATGTCCTGAAAGATTATAAATAAGAATGTTAGAACAATTTTAAAAAGTGAGTTTAATTTTCACACACCCTTCAGAGTTCTCACAGGAGCGAGTGTTGTGAGCGTGAGCTGCGGTGTGTATATATGTGTATATATGGATATTGTACGTGATGTTTTTAAGAGTCTCTCTGTCATTGGCTGTGACGTTTGATTGACAGCCGAGAGGTGATGGTTTGTAATCCCGTCGGTTTTAACTGTATGTCAATGTAACAAACGTTCTGTGAAAAAACATTTCTGTGGATTTCCTCTCTCTGCAAAGTGATTGGCCGGTTTGGACCTCCTGTGACCACGCCCACTTGTATAATGTCACAGCAGGGGTCGTGTTGATTGACAGCTGCTGTGCATAAAGTGGGCGGGGTTTATGCTCAGAATCCGTTGATTCTGGATGAGTTTGGGTGCACTCTAAAAAATGCTGGGTTAAATACAACCCAGTGCTGGGTAAAATAGGGACAAACCCAGCAATTGGTTTGTTTTGACCCAGCGGTTGGGTTACTACCCAGAAGGTTGGGTTAAACATTTAACCGCTGGGTCAAAACAGCCCAATTGCTGGGTTTGTCCGTTTTACCCAGCATTTTGTGTGTGGCTTTAGTTGAAATTGCTTTTGTTTGTCTCGTTCCTTTTTGCATAACGCTGGTTAATTATGTTTGTAACAAGTCTTTTTTTGCCATAAAATGTCCTTTGGTAGATAAATTGCATATAATTATTGTGCATATGGGGCAGAAACTAAAGTGGGTGTGGCCTGTTCTCTGGCACTTGAGAAATAAACATTTAATACAATCGGTGTGATGTTTGCATTTTGTGCGTGTGAGTATGTGTGTGTGTGTAAGCCTATATATATATATATATATATATATAAATAGTTTGAGACGTCTCACTGTTGTGTGTAATTTGCTGAAAATAATACTAATGCATCTGCTTTTATATAGAGCGTAAGTTATATTATAACTGCAGCCTTGAGCGATTACGATCCGGTTTTAACAATTGGGTGACTTGATGACCACTGAAACTGGTTCTGCTGGTTTGGAGTTGAAGGAAGCATTCAAGCTATAATGTATATTTAAGGCAATGTATTTTATTACACACTCACCGTCTGTTTCTAAACAAAACTACAAAATAAATGATGCCTTGCTTTAGTTCAGTTAATAAATCCAGCTGTTAATTTCCATTAGTATCAGTCTGTATTCAAAACAAGCGCTCGGTAATATGCAACATTTTTTATTACATTTATATGTCTTTAAATAAATATTCTCTGTTTATTTCCAGTTTACACTAAATCACACATAACTGAACAGAAAATCATATAAAAATGTGAAAAGAGCATGCACTACTGCAACTATAAAAACATTTAAAACTGCGGCTTTCATTCAGGCTTATGGAGTGTCAGATATTCTCTCATATTTTGGAGCTTTAAAAACGTTCAGCAGTCTTGGAAGAACAGATCTTTAGTTATTAATCTGCACCAAAACAGTCATTTGTATGTGCAATATAGCTTCACTGTGCACATCTCGCATATTAAAAGCATAAACCAAATATATTACTATAATGAAAATAATGGCTAATAATAAAAGCTTTGGCTCACAGACATCATCCAAGTTTCTTGCACATTTTCAGTAAAACGGTTTCCAGCAGTTTGGATGTGATTCTTAATCTTTGGTGCTTTTGATTCACGAGTTACACTTGGTTCTGTTGAAAACAAAACTCTGAGATCGAGTCTCAGATATTCTCAGTAACAAGAAAAAAATAAAATGTTTAAAAGCATCTGTACATGGATTCACTGGGATCTTCACGCTTCGGTTGAAAGTGACGGTGCTTGAGAGAATGAAGTCAGAAACCTTCGTCGTCATCATCATCGTCATCAGCCCGTCTTGGGCGCTTTGTTCTTCTTGTTGAGGATCTTCATCAGGTTCTTGGACATGAAGTATGGTTTCTGTGGACTGCCGTCATTACGCTCCAGATCCTCCACTGAACAACAAAACACAGTGAAACACACAACACCTCAAACAGTAACTTGACTGTATGTGACATTATATATGTGTGATACTCACAAAAACACAGGAAGAGTGTGTCCACACCCATGTTATACACACTGAAGAAGCCGTGAGCGATCAGATACGCACCGAACACCACCGTCTGTCACACACACACACACACACACACACACATTATAAAACTAAACATTTGCAACTGTACATCTCGTCCCAAAATCTTTGCAACTGTACAGCTAATTACTGAATGAAAGTACATGGACACATTTAAACAACAAATTACAGGGAACAGAAGTGAAAGGAATTTTAAGGGGAAAATTTGTGGTACTGTATATATATAGATTTTGATTGAACTTGAAAACACCCATTTCACCTCAAAATAAAAAAAAGAATGAAATAAAAATATATATTTTCTATAAAAATTGCATTTAAAATATTTACTGTAATGTAAATATATAAATAAAATTACTTTTACACAAAATATATATATATTTTTTATAAAGTCTATTTTGCATCGAGATGATTTACTTTTAAGAACTTTTAAGGAAAGAGTTTAAGGCATATTTATATTTTTAACCTCAAAATTAAATACATATATTTTTAAAAATTAATAAATAAAAAAATATTTTGCATTTAATGAAAATAAAATAAAAAATACATCAATTAAAAATATAAATTTTTCATATTTTACAATCACATTTAAAAATGTACTGTAATGCAAAGATATAAATAAAAAATTTTTATCCAAGATATAATTTTCCTTTATTAGGTCTGATTTAGATCCAGATGTTTTAGCATTAAGGATGTTTAAAGAAAGAGTTTGAGACATATTTGGATTTTGCACTTCATGAAAATACCAATTTCACCTCAAAAACCAACCAACCAAACAAACAAATAAATCAAATAAAACTATATATTTTTCCATAAATTTTGCATAAAAATATTATTTATATATTTGCATTACAGTAATTATTTTAATGCAATTATTTATTTATTTTTTATTACGTTTATAGTAAGGCATCCAGATGTTTTATTTTTAAGAACTTTTATGGAAAGAGATTGAGGCATATTTAGGTTTTGATTGAACCATGAAAACCTCAATTTCACCTCAAAATAAATTATTAAATTTATTATTTAAAAAAAACCTATTAAATAAATAAATTAAATAAAGATATTTTGCATTTAATGTAACGCAAATATATGAAAAAAATTGTTTATATATATATATTTAGAATAAAAATTATTCTATTTTGCATGCAGGTGTTTTACTTTTAAGGACTTTTTTTTTTTGACTATTTTGTTTGAACTTCGTGAAAAAAACACAAACCAAATAATAATAATAAACAATTAATAATAATAATAATAATAAGAAGAAGAAGAAGAAAATAAAATAAAAATATTTTTCCATAAAAATTGTATTTAAAATATTTGTTTATATATATATATTTAGCATAAAAATTATTCTATTTTGCATGCAGGTGTTTTACTTTTAAGGACTTTTTTTTTTGACTATTTTGTTTGAACTTCGTGGAAAAAAACACAAACCAAATAATAATAATAAACAATTAATAATAATAATAAGAAGAAGAAGAAGAAGAAGAAAATAAAATAAAAATATTTTTCCATAAAAATTGTATTTAAAATATTTACTGTAATGCAAATAAATAAAATAATTTTACAATAATAATTTTGCAAAATATTTTTTATTTTAATAAGTATAATTTGCCTCCAGATGTTTTACTTTCAAGGAAAGAGATTAAGGTATATTTAGATATTGATTGAACCGTGAAAATCTCATAACAAATAAAACAATAAAAATATATACACTGAACAAAATTATAAACGCAACACTTTTGTTTTTGCCCCCATTTTTCATGAGCTTAACTCAAAGATCTAAGACTTTTTCTATGTACACAAAAGGCCTATTTCTCTCAAATATTGTTCACAAATCTGTCTAAATCTGTGTTAGTGAGCACTTCTCCTTTGCCGAGATAATCCATCCACCTCACAGGTGTGGCATATCAAGATGTTGATTAGACAGCATGATTATTGCACAGGTGTGCCTTAGGCTGGCCAAAATAAAAGGTTACTCTAAAATGTGCAGTTTTACTGTATTGGGGGTCCGGGGGGGTCCGAAAACCAGTCAGTATCTGGTGTGACCACCATTTGCCTCACGCAGTGCAACACATCTCCTTCGCATAGAGTTGATCAGGTTATTGATTGTGGCCTGTGGAATGTTGGTCCACCCCTCTTCAATGGCTGTGCGAAGTTGCTGGATATTGGCAGGAACTGAAACACGCTGTCGTATACGCCGATCCAGAGCACCAGTGGTTACACGTGGTCTGCGGTTGTGAGGCCGGTTGGATGTACTGCCAAATTCTCTGAAACGCCTTTGGAGACGGCTTATGGTAGAGAAATGAACATTCAATTCATGGGCAACAGCTCTGGTGGACATTCCTGCAGTCAGCATGCCAATTGCACGCTCCCTTCAAAACTTGCGACATTGTTCTGTGTGATAAAACTGCACATTTTAGAGTGGCCTTTTATTGTGGCCAGCCTAAGGCACACCTGTGCAATAATCATGCTGTCTAATCAGCATCTTTATATGCCACACCTGTGAGGCGGATGGATTATCTCGGCAAAGGAGAAGTGCTCACTAACACAGATTTAGACAGATTTGTGAACAATATTTGAGAGAAATAGGCCTTTTGTGTACATAGAAAAAGTCTTAGATCTTTGAGTTCAGCTCATGAAACATGGGGGCAAAAACAAAAGTGCTGCGTTTATAATTTTGTTCAGTATATTTTTTGCAAAAAAATGTAGCATTAAAACATTTACTGTAATGCAAAGTTTTTGCTTAAATGCATTACATCAGATACCAAAATATATCTTGCAAAAATATATATTTAAAAGGACAAGTATGCAAAATATAATTTCTTTTTTCTTTTTGATTTTTGGGGTGAAATAGTTGACAGGTTTGGTGAAATTCTGTTGTTCTGTGTGTAACTGCAATGCTGAACACAGGGTCACTGTATGTGGCATATAGTTAAATACATGTAAGAAAAGACCAATCAGCATTCAGTATGCAAAGATGACGACATCATAATGTCAGTGAGATTCTGACTGCTGAACATTTGACCAAATGTCAATCAGTAATGCGAGGTGTGAATGTGAGTCTCACTATGATGGGCATCCAGTAGTAGTTGAGAGCCGCCGTTTCAAACGTGGTTCCTGGAGTCTGAATCCTGCCGGAGAAGAAGAAGAAGGCCAGCACACCTGAAAACAGACGAGACGTAATCAGCTTCAGCTCACACATGAAGCTCCAGAGATCTGAGGTGTGTCTAATCTCTCACCAACTCCACCGACCACCAGCAGCTTCCCGAAGAACAGCAGCAGATCCGTCACTTTATCCAGCACCACCACCCTGACAACAACAACAAAACCACCTCTTCAGAAACAAATACATCTCCTCTTGAGGAACCAGATTTCTGTATTGGGTTCTTGAGTTGCTCTTTAGAGCTTCATAACACTGTTCCTATAACCAGATGTGACTCGACGACACACAATAAGAAACAAAACATCTTTTCCATCTTTTGCCCAAAACTATGAAAGCTTATTAACTTATAATTTAAAGAGAAGAGAAGTAAGAATTGTGAGTTAAAAAGTTGCAATTACCTTTCATTTTTTATTCAGTAATGGGGGGAAAAACAAATATACAAATTCTCGCATTAAACCAAAATCTTTGCAATTTTATAGCTAATTACTAAATGAAAGTACATGAACTAATTTACATAATACAAAATAAGGAAAATAAGAAAAATTTGAGGTACATTTTAAATGAACACCCATTTCACCTCCATATCAAATTAATAAATACACTAAAAATACTTAATAAAATGAAAAATGTTTTGCAGTAAATTTTGCATGATTTTGATCGAACTTAAATCGAACTTTATGAAATAAATACATTTAAAAATAATAAATAAAAATATATTTCGCATAAAAAATTTACATTTATATTTTATATATATATATATATAGATATAGATATAGATATATATATATTTTATTATATTACATTAACTATATTTCGTAAATTTGTGAATATGAGTTTGTAACTTGCAATTGTAAAATATACACTTGTGAGAAAAAGTCTGAAATTTGAGATAAGCTTTATTCCATGGTAGGAACAAACACAAAACAAAACACAAAACAACAAAACAAAACACAAAAGCAACAAAACAAAACAAAACACAAAACAACAAAACACAAACAACAAAACAAAACAACACACAAAACAAAAAACAAGAAACGAAACTAAACAAAACAAAAAACAAGAAACAAAACAAAACAAAACAAAATAAAACACAAAACAACAAAACAAACAACAAAACAAAACAAAACAAGAAACGATACAAAACAAAACAAAAAACAAGAAACGAAACAAAACAAAACAAAAAACAAAAAACAAGAAACGAAACAAAACAAAACAACAAAACAAAACACAAACAACAAAAAAACAAGAAACGAAACAAAACAAAAAACAAAAAACAAGAAACAAAACAAAACGAAACGAAACAAAACAAAACAACTGCGATGTGAAAACTCAGAAAAAGTCGTCAGAATTGCAACATGTAAACCAGCAATTACAAGCGTTTAACTTGCAATCAACCACATATAAACGATCAATTCTGAGGAAAAAAAAAAGTATTTTGTTTTAGTGGTTTGGTTTCTATGCTTTAGAGCACATTCTGATACTTCAATCAATAACTGCTGAATGATTCCAGACTGTGGTCTCACCGTATAATGTTCCTCATGAGCAGAGAGAAAGCATTCTTAGCGGACACACAGAAGTTCTTCCCATATATGGCGATCTACAAACCAGAGAAACGCTGACATTTATTCATTTATTCACTCACTCACTCGGCTGATGATTTTATGTGCGTGAGAGAGAGGGTTTATGTACCATGATGTAAGCGTTCCTGTTGATGAACTTGATGAATTTCTCCAGACACCAGAAGCAGCATTTAAGGCAGCACATGATGAAGCGCGTGCACGGGTTCTGAGCCTCTGAACACACACACACACACACACACACACACACACACACACACACAAACACAAAAGCAACAAAACAAAACAAAACACAAAACAACAAAACAAAACACAAAAGCAACAAAACAAAACAAAACACAAAACAACAAAACAAAACACAAAAGCAACAAAACAAAACAAAACACAAAACAACAAAACACAAACAACAAAACAAAACAACACACAAAACAAAAAACAAGAAACGAAACTAAACAAAACAAAAAACAAGAAACAAAACAAAACAAAACAAAATAAAACACAAAACAACAAAACAAACAACAAAACAAAACAAAACAAGAAACGATACAAAACAAAACAAAAAACAAGAAACGAAACAAAACAAAACACAAAACAACAAAACAAAACACAAACAACAAAAAAACAAGAAACAAAACAAAACAAAAAACAAAAAACAAGAAACAAAACAAAACGAAACGAAACGAAACAAAACAACTGCGATGTGAAAACTCAGAAAAAGTCGTCAGAATTGCAACATGTAAACCAGCAATTACAAGCGTTTAACTTGCAATCAACCACATATAAACGATCAATTCTGAGGAAAAAAAAAAGTATTTTGTTTTAGTGGTTTGGTTTCTATGCTTTAGAGCACATTCTGATACTTCAATCAATAACTGCTGAATGATTCCAGACTGTGGTCTCACCGTATAATGTTCCTCATGAGCAGAGAGAAAGCATTCTTAGCGGACACACAGAAGTTCTTCCCATATATGGCGATCTACAAACCAGAGAAACGCTGACATTTATTCATTTATTCACTCACTCACTCGGCTGATGATTTTATGTGCGTGAGAGAGAGGGTTTATGTACCATGATGTAAGCGTTCCTGTTGATGAACTTGATGAATTTCTCCAGACACCAGAAGCAGCATTTAAGGCAGCACATGATGAAGCGCGTGCACGGGTTCTGAGCCTCTGAACACACACACACACACACACACACACACACACACACACAGTTCATCATTCAGAAACACCTGCTTTCAATAAAACAGATTAGTGTACATGGTATATCAACTCCTGATTGATTGTAAATAATGCTGTTTACGACAACAAACAAATAAGTCAATCTGGATTCTAGACAAACACATTTTTACATCTTACAGTGTTTGGAAAGTGTAAACTGTAATTATTACACATTAGTGTAGAGTTATTATCATTAACTAAATCTAAAACTATTAAAAGCATTTTGCTAACTGAAATAAACCTGAAAAAATAAAATGTAAATAGATGAAAAAAAAAAAAAAACTGTTCCCTTAGTGATCAACTGAAATACATGTAAGGTGAAGCACTGAAATTGGATTTTTTTTTTATATATATATATCAAATTTTACATTTTTAAATAAATGAATAAATCTGAAATATAAAATCAACCTAAACCTGATCATATTAAAAAACTAATAAAAATTACGAAAACACATAAAATTACTAAAAATTACTAAACATTCAAAGTATTAATAAAAACTATAATAGTACATAAATCGTACTAAATTAACACTGGTGAAGAGTCAGAATAAAATGAATCAAATATCTGTTTGCAGTGATGTTTGATGTCAGACGTCTGCACTAAACTCCACATTTGACTAAAAAAAAAACACACACACTAAAAAGTGTTGTATTTTAGTCTGTTTTCCAGTACGAATATCTAAACATTCATAAATAAGATACTTTTAAACAAAATAAATTAAATATAACATGATATTTTGTAATTTTGCTTCTCAAGTAAATACTAAAAATGACTTTTTGCAGTGCTGACACACTAAATATAAAAGAAAAAAATACTTAAAGTTTTGAAGACGACAGAAAGCGCAGAAGTGAAAGATCTTCTCTGACCTTTGAACTTGTGGTCCAGATACTCCAGAAAGATCCTGACGATCTGCACCAGCGTGAGAATCAGCGCGCCGAACGCCAGAGAGCCCACGTGATACCTGACAGAAATCAAGAGAGCAGAAGAAATCAGTCACAGACACATTTCTGACACAACCTCTCCCTCATAAATGCAGCTGGAATCATGAGCGCCATCTAGAGTCTGAAACCACAGTGACATGAAGTGATTTCTTAAAACACATTTATGCTCTTACTGTGATCAATTGACCAGTGCACTTTCATATTCACACTTCAGATAAATGATGTACTGCAGTACTTTATTTCCCACTGAATGTTCTGTATCATTATAGAAGTAAAACAGATTGTGAAAGTCATTTGTTTTGAAGTGACTCCCAGCTTAATGTTGTCACACACTGATCCTGGATCAGCTCTGACAGACTCTGTCTTGTGGTTAGAACTGAACCACAGTGCATTTTCCACCAATAACCTACATTTCTCCAGTTTCATGTGTCTTACCGCAGCGCTCTCATGAAGGACTGGATCAGAGGGAATGTTGGGATATCTGCCGGTTTGCTGAAGGCCCAGTAATAAGAGCCGAAGGCTCCGGCGAGCGTGCAGTGACCCAGAGCGATGACGAAGTTCACACACCACAGGAACGCAACCACGTTATAGATCTGCAGGTTAAAGAGGTTCCTCTGGAACAAACCCTCCTCGTTATAGTTAATGAAGACGCAGCGCGCCGACGGACACGTGGGATACTGCGTACTGTTGAACGTCTGTGGAGAAAAACAGAGACACACGAGATCTCAGTTATTCCTGTTACAGATTAAATGCAGACCGAAGTCTCCTGCTTCTCAGGTGAGGGTTTCTACTGAGAAAAAGACTCCAGTAAACTCTTCTCTAAAGCTTCAGAGGAGATCTCAGTATCTCAATGTAAACCTAAACCGGAGACGCCCAAACCATGGATCACAAGTCATGCCATATCTCAAGAGAAGGAGAAAATGGAGAAAAAACATGCCTTTGAAGCATATTTTCATTTCTTATTTATATTTAGTTTTATTTTTGCATTGAAATGTAAATAGAACAATATAAGTCTGAATTTGATCAAAAAAATTATTTGAAAATGTAAAAAAACAAAAAAAAAATTTAGTTTAAAGATGTAAAAAAAAAATTGTTTTTAAATCAATATAATATACAGGTGCATCTCAATAAATTAGAACGTCGTGGAAAAGTTCATTTATTTCAGTAATTCAACTCAAAGTGTGAAACTCGTGTATTAAATAAATTCAATGCACACAGACTGAAGTAGTTTAAGTCTTTAGTTCTTTTAATTGTGATGATTTTGGCTCACATTTAACAAAAACCCACCAATTCACTATCTCAACAAATTAGAATATGGTGACATGCAATCAGCTAATCAACTCAAAACACCTGCAAAAGTTTCCTGAGCCTTCAAAATGGTCTCTCAGTTTGGTTCACTAGGCTACACAATCATGGGGAAGACTGCTGATCTGACAGTTGTCCAGAAGACAATCATTGACACCCTTCACAAGGAACAGTGTGTGTGTGAACGTGTGTGTGTGACCTCCGGGTCGCAGGTCTCGTTGACTTGTATGACGCTGCAGTCTCCCTGTGATGTGTTCATCGCCACCACCTTGTAGACAGGAGCGCCTGATGTGGCCAGATATCTGAACACACGCTCAGTTAAAGACTCACAACATATGAAACATGAAAACACTGAATACATCCATATACACTATGACAAAAACACAACAGAATTACTAAAATTTAATTCAAATGAAACAGTATAAATATATCAAAATAAAAAATAAAAAAATCAGAACGACACAGTATCTCAGTAATACAAAAATAACTGCTGATCTGGAGAAAAACACAGTTTGGTGATGCATTCATTTGAAGCAGATCTGTTCAGTTATATTTGGTTTGCTTCAGTTTGGTTATGTATAACTCCTTGGCTGTTCACATCTACATTTATTGATTTGTCAGATGCTTCAATCTAGATCAGTTTACACTTGTGTGTGAAGGATACAGCGCTGTGATTCCCCAGTACGACACACACACCAACAGCAGCACAAATGTGACGATGGGATAGATCAGTGTTGACATCATGTGACCCAGCGCCCTGAAAACACACACACACACGTTTTACTCACTACTCAAGTCAAACTCCCATAGACAGAAAACTGTACTTCTTCGAATCAGTTCAAACATTAACATGATGATATGATTAATGTGATCATTTTTAGATTGTGCTCTGCATTCATGACTGCTGATGAGAATATTACACATATGTGTGCAGTGCATGAGCACTGATTGTCTGTGTTTCTGAGCAAGTTTTGGATATAACTACTATGAGATGTCTATGAGAGAGAGAAAGTAAAACCAATGTGTGTGTGTGTGTGTGTGTGTGTGTTTATTTACTTGCTGGTCTCCTGAATAAGAGCGATAGCGATGAGAATACGAGTTCTCAGGAAGATCAACGCCAGCAGGAGAGCATTCATGACTGCTGATGAGAATATTACACATATGTGTGCAGTGCATGAGCACTGATTGTCTGTGTGTTTCTGAGCAAGTTTTGGATATAACTACTATGAGATGTCTATGAGAGAGAGAGAAAGTAAAACCAATGTGTGTGTGTGTGTGTGTGTGTGTGTTTATTTACTTGCTGGTCTCCTGAATAAGAGCGATAGCGATGAGAATACGAGTTCTCAGGAAGATCAATGCCAGCAGGAGAATGGCCTCGACAACACACAGAATAATCACTATAACACAGACAGAAAGATTGTCACTAGACTGATTGATGTTACATTTTTTTTAATTAAATTACTGCAAATTAGCTATCAATTATGTGCTTTAAATTTGGGTGATCATTAAAATTGGGTGGGTCAACTGAAATTGAACAGATAATGTATAAAGCACATAATAAATTTATTTCCCAAATGTATTCAGAGGCTATTTAAAATGAGAATATAAGGGAAAGTATCCTTAAGGAAATAACACATTTAAAAAAAATAAAAAAAATAAATAAAAAAAGATATATCTGTCAACGTGGTGAAATTGTTGAAAACTCTGACAAGGGATTCACTTTGAAAATATTTTTTAAAAATGTTTAGAAATATGATTTTTAAATATATAATTTGTATATGAAATTTGTGAAAATGTTATGAAAGGTGTAATTTTTCAGGTGTTTAAAGTAAAAAATCTTTTTTTAAGTAACTGCTTTGTTTTTGCATCTTTCAGTGGAAATGACGCTTATTATGAAAAAAGGGCAGTAACAAATAATAAGCCTTCAATAAATAAATTAATAAAAAGGTTTAATCTATATACATTTTTCAGTTAATTTATACAATTCTGTATAATTATTATGGAATTGTGTATGAGGGGCCGAAAGTAATAAAAAAAAATCTTGATTATTATAAAATGTATTTTAATTAAATTTCATTAAAGTTTTATTTTATTTGTTAATATTATTAGTATGCTCTATTTGTAAAAAAAATTATTATGATTAATTTCTTCATTTCACATTGTACACAGGTCAATTCTTTGGCAAGAAGTTGAAAAACAAAGTTTTTGTTGTGCACATACTGTATGCCCATTGAATTGAAAAGAGAAACTGAACTGAATTAATAAGGTTCTAATATTCCATTGAAACACAGACGTGCCAACAATGCTAAAAACAAAGTGCAGTGACTCACAGAAGGCCAGCCAGGTGTCTCGCACCTGCAGATAGACCTGCACGTTACTGGTGAAACCCACGTTACTGAAGGTCAGGCTAGAGCTCACCAGAGACATGTACTCATTATAACAGTACCAGATTCCTGACAGAAAACAAGAACACAAGATTATGACACAGAAAAATCACTATCAGCTAACATCAGTGTTTACAGTGTTTAAGATTTATAAATAAGGCATCAAAAATACGATCAGCTATTTTAGATGCTAAAAAGCACAGAAACAACAAGAACATTCATTATTCATTAATCACTCATTAATCTTCAATGAAATCATGTGCAACTATGTGTCCAGCATCTAGTACATTATAAAAGCATGTGATGTTTCAGTGAGATTTCTGAGCTGAACGAATGACAGAAAACACGTCAGATGCACATTGTTTCTCACGGCTGGTTAGGACAAAAACTCTGATGAACACGTCAGATATGAGATTAATCACTTGAGGATGTCATACCTGGTGAGAACACAGTGTAACAAGTTAAGAGAAGCATTTAATAAACACACTGGTCACCGTACCGAAGGCGCCGACCGCCAGAACGCCGATGATGAGAACCCAGACGAGAACCGGCGCCGTGAAACGCAGCAGCAGCAGGAAGAGAACGCTGACCACCATCGCAATCACCAGACCACTGACACACAGAGCGACAAGTCAATGCAAAATCGCAAATATGACACAAAAACTCTCACAGAACCTCATAGTCAAGAACATAAAATCTCCAAATAATAAATGCCAAAATGTGCATGCTATTTCAAATATTTTAACAGTTTAAATTGCAGCAGTAATTATAGTCTGGTAATATTTAGTAATTAGTGGTCGACCGATATATCGCCAAGGCCGATATATTATTGGCATTTTTCAAATATCGGCCGATAAGTTTTTCTGTTTGGCCGATGCATTCGAGGCGGGACTTTTATTTTGACGGCGCATCAGACTTTTATTTTGATGAACACACAGTGCTCACATTCTCCCTCTTGTTCGCCCTCGTCGTTAAAGGGTTACTCCACCCCAAAATGAAAATTTTGTCATTCCAAACCCGTAAAAGCTTCGTTCGTCTTCGGAACACAATTTAAG